ATATATGTATGTATAAAGTACAGAAATTGTTTTTGTTTTGTGTGTGTGTGTTTGTGTGTGTGTGTGTGTGTGTGTGTATGTGTGTATGTTTAAAATTGAGGACTTTGGCACAGTAAGGAATTATTTGAAATTTCACGAAAAATAATCTGAATCTGGGAGAATAGAAAATTAGTTAGGAATGAAGCAAAAACTTTGTTGGAAATTAAATGATGTAACTAGCAGGCCTTTGGTATACAATAAAAAGAGATGCTATAGTTTTTTTTCTGTTAAAGAAAAAGTTCATAAACCGGTCTTTTTTTTTCTGCACCAAAGCCTCTGATTAATTATATTTATGTTAGACACAGCACAAGAGAGTATATTCAACTTCATTATGAAGGCTATTACTATGACATTTAGCGATAGTCGATTTATCGACGAAGCTACTGATTGCAACAAGGAGAATGGCGTATTAACTTTATTATCGTTGCACTCAGTCAGCGCTGTTATTTACTTTCTCTTAAAACGCCATTACTGTTACTGTAAAAAATGTGGACGTATAGCTGCTTTCATTTCCATAGAATAAGATACTTCGACACACTTCCAACAAAGTTAATATCTTCCTCTGACTTACTATCTATTTAACTTACAGCCTGAATTCAATAATCGCTGTCAACGAGCTACGCTGAGTGTCGCGATCCGACACCTGACATAAATAACGACACTTACAAATTATTATTACTATTGTTATTATCTCATTATCATTATTATTATATCGAAATATTGTAATAATGCAACCACTATGCAAACGCGCGATAATACTTACAATTAGCTTAAATCGAGTTACACGAGACTCGAATGAGTTTTTGGCACGAATATTCTTTTTTTTTTCATTCTGTAAGATCGCTCTGAGCCGCTTTTGAACTTTTGATTTTCCTTTTTGTTCTTTCAGAGAAGTTTGATTATTTAGTAATTTCGGAGGAGAAGGAGTTACGAAGACAGGGAGTAGAGAGAACTTTTCATAGAAGTTGAGATGACCGACAGATGTTTCGTAGTTATAAGGAATAAAAATAAATAAAAAAGGGAAAAAGTAAAAAATAAAAATAATTTTTTACAAAATTTAATAACTTCCATTTTGAATTTAATTTTCATTTTTTATAAACTTTAAAAATTATTAAAATAATTTTTTAATAAAAAGACACTAATTAATAAAGTGGAAATTATATGATAGCCAAAAGATATAAATATAAAACGTTTATATTTATTGTGAATGTATTTCAAGAAAAATGTCATATAAAATATATTATCAATTTGTTGCTAAAAGCAATTTTGTAAAAGATAATATACATAAAAAAAACTTGAAAGAAAACGTAATTTAAAACAAAAGCTAATATTGATATTTATTGTAATCTAATAGAAAAATAAGAACGTAACAAATTTAAATATTAAGAAGATAGTATATAATTGGCATTAGAAGATTATATATAATTGGCACTCTGTTCAGTGAAGAGGAAAATACATGGAAGAAATTTTTGCTAACGGCGCATAAATGGATAGTTAATGTTATTTGGAAACTTCCGTGGATGCGTGACGAGTTTTACAAGTTGACAGCAGGGAAAACGCAAGTTAAACGTGCACGGCCAGGACCCAACTAGTTCGTAACAGTTTGTACGCTCAAGTTATTGATACAGTAACTATCTGATGTTAGTCGGAAACATAGCAGAGAGAAAATACTCATACACACGCGTACGAGCGTATTTCAGTCGCTCGCTTCTTTACTTTATTATTTTATTCCCAACGTGAAAGTTGAAAGCTGCGATTTTAGCCGTAAGTGAACCGTTCTTTCGCAAGTTTTTCTTTTGATGAGATACAGTGTCGTCTACATCCGTATGCACAGAGTTGCAAATGTTACTTGATGTGCGAATTGAAGTTAAGCTTCTCGCACAGCATGCTTCATCCAAAAGATATCCAGGAGACGTCCATATAGGTTGTCTTCTGGATGTCTTTAGAATGTCTCTTGGAGATTTGGGTTCCAACATAACTTGGTTTCCCAACATTCAACTCGTCAAGAGAGTGTCAATATCCATTTCCCTATTTGGCGATTTCTCCATAGTATCATTTAGCCAATATCCATAGAACATCTAACAGAGTTTAACTATCTGATTGGCCCTAATTGGACTGCAATAATGTCATTAATTAAGTGAAATTAAATTAACGTCTGAGGCAAATGTCATTAATTAAATAAAATTAAGTTAATGTTTCTAATTTAGACTCATTTCTATCAATGCAGTTTAATTTTGATCTCGATTCAAGTAACTCATCTTTTTTTAGTTATAAGAATCAGAGAAAAATGAAGAGTAAATTGAACCCAGACTAAAGTTAATCTATATGATAGAAACAAGCATTAGACATTAGATAATTACGGTATGTAGATTCGCATAGATTCATTGTTATAATAAGATTATTGAAAAATGATTGTTATTTGAAAATGGTTCATTTCCAGAGAAACATATACACATATTTTGGCATCTAAGAAAAAATACTCTCAAATATTTTAAGAATTGAGTGATTATTAAAATTAATCAATATAATCTCGAAATTGGTCGTCGTATATTTCATTTTCTGATTTCAAAAACACTCAAGTTCGAGAGTGACGACATTGAAGTTCAGAAGTCAAGTAAGATTGGAAGATTCTTAACTCTTGTGCATGCAAGTTTGTAGAAACATACATTTTTGGGGCCCTTTGCCTCATCCACTCACTACTCTGGTTCTCAACATGTGTAATTTGAACTTTTTCGAAAATATATAAAACATCTCGTTATCAAAATAAAATATAAATTGGCTATAACGTTGTCGTGCTCGCGTGACAGTGCGAACGTTCGCGTTTGGCAAATATATAGGAAACATCGATCGCTTTCTTTCTCCTTTCTTTCTCGCGCAACTATCCTTCTTTTTTTTTATAGGGATAATTACCAATATAATTAGTGTTTTTTCTTATCACAAATGTTCGCGCGCTATTCCTCCGCGTTTGGAGAAATGAATTTTGCGGGAGCACGCACGTAAAGTGCATATTTAAAACACTAAATACTGTCCAGAAAATCTTCGGCTGACTTTTTATTAACAATGTCAATTAATTCTGGCACTAATTTAATTTTCACGATAAAAATTTTTTAACCTCAATTAAATTATATTGACCAATTATATTGTGATCAATTAAATTAAATTTATAACTACAATAAATATTATTTAATAAAATAAAAAAGCAGTAAATAAATCGTTTTATAATAAATTAAGGTAACTAGATCCAATATGGGGCGGTGTATTCAAAACATCCTATTCACTATTTATAGTATGAGTAATTACACAATTAATTCAACAGATAACAGTAGTAATTTGCAGGTTGTCTATCTGACTTGATTGCATCAGTTTATTGTTTAATTTGTTCATTTAGTTATCAGTAAAGAAAATCCAGAATATCATAGGCGTGATGTAATATTTCGTAAGAAAGTAATTGCTTCCTATAACTACAAAAAATGATTATTAATTTCAGTAGATCATGTTGTTATAACTCTGTATTCATATTTTACAATATCAGATAGTTAATTTATTATTTTTATCATAAGCTTTCATTATAATCAAAGAGAAAAAGATAAGGTAGAACTTCTTTGTAAGAACTAATATGACTATAGGTAACTGTACACATATCAATTGTATAATTTTTTTTTTATATTTTTATTATTTCAGATCATGAATTCTAATTCATCCATTAAACATCACGGAAATAAGTAGATAAGTAGATAAGTCCAATTTGGAAACGTTTTTTGTATTAATTATATATTAATAAACATGTCAATATATCGATAATAACTTACAATCTTATAAAAAACATTGATCACTTTATTTCTCATTTTTCTCTTTTTTTTTTACGAAAAAGAGGGAAACATACTTAGGTCATATTGGATGTTACGTGTACTCAGTATGCGCAGAATGCTTACTTTTTTTTAAATCTTTACTGCACCTAGTATATAAATGTTTCAAAATGTCTCATAATTTTTATTACATTCAGAAATGTTCCCTCTTTTAAATGTGATCAATTTTTTAATTTTAGAGTCAGCAAAAAATGAAAAAAAATTGTAAAGCCTAGGAAGGGCATATAGAGTATTATTAGAGTCCGGTTACCTTATTCTTTTTAATAGAATTAAATTAATTCTTTTCTAATCTTTTATTTCTAAAAGAAAACGTTACAGCCAGAATTAACAGACGCCGAATTAGCCGATCTGCCGATATATTTTTGCATGTAAATCGACAGAGTGATATACGACCGAATCGAAGATCATTTTATGATTCATTTTACCTTGATGACTTCGTGGTCAAAGGGAGAGATCAATGCATCTGGAAACAGTTGACAAAATATATCTGTCAAGTGTACAACAATAACATTATCCCGGCTCGGTGAAATTTGTCTTGTTAATATCGTTTGTTCCGATCAATTCGATGTGAGAGCAACGGTTTATCGTCATACCCATCGAATCGATCAGAATTCATTTTCGTGGATCACCGCACGTGGTGTCGACCTCGTCGCGAGGCCAGGCTAGATGCTACAGAGAGATTCATCTGTGACAGGCCTCGTGCGGCTGGATGTCGGGCGGCTGAATAGTTTGGTAAGGAATCTGTGTATCTCTGAAGTGCGATCTGACCAGCAGGCCCAGACCGAGCAGCACGACAGGAAGACCAAGCAAGGCGCAGATCAGCTCGCCCGTTACTCCTGGTGACCAGGAGATGAAACCTGTTCAGGATAAATCTTTTAAAGTTTCTCAGTACTCAGGTTTTTATGCAATTACGTGATCAAATGCCTAGGTAAAACATAAAGTTCTAATTAAGTTAATGATATCATATAGGACGTCACCATTTGATATTTGAAAATAAATTTATAAGTGACAAATAAATTATGATGATAAATTATGATGTTCTTATGATATTATTATGATAATTAAAAAAGTAAGACAATCTTAAATAGTAATTTAAAATTGTATGCACTTTCAAAAATGTCAAAAAATTAAAAGTAAAAAGCGAGTTAATGAGAGTGAAGCGATGTAAGTATTGTGCAAATTTATATATATAAATTTTCAATTTATTTTTTAAATTTTTATATAATCTTTAATTTCGACGTTTCGACTGACATTCGAGTCATCTTCAGCAATAATCACACAATAGAAATGAATTGAATCTTTAGCGAGAGAACTCTATCACTCTCATTAGCCCACTCTTTACTTTTAATTTTTGATCTTGATGATTTTTATGTTCTACTTAGGCAATCTACGAAAAGCAGGTCTGAGAAAATGACACGTGATTATAAGAAATTCATAAACGAATTCGTAATAATGTAACTGTAAGAGGGAACATGTTAATTCTTAATTGAAATTGAGAATTCGTAATCCAGATATCTAATCTATAAATAGAATGTCTAATATGTAATTGTTTGTATTTTTATAAAAAAAAATAAGTTAAAATAAATTGTGAAAGAAATTTATTTCAACTTAATTAAGAGAGAGTATTCTGCTTTAGAAGATTATATTCGTAAATCCAGAAAATAAATTTTTACCATGTTTCACGTATCTCTCTACGGAACTAACTTTTGCTTCAATATCTGTTATCCGTTTTAATATTTATATTGCGCAACACAAGGCAAATCGTTGCAAAATTCAAACTAAAACTAAAAATCATTTAGATATTTACCCCCGTGTAAACTAACGTCCATCCTGTAAATGCTCCACCAGATACCAGACAGCGGAAGCGAAACGGTAGCGGTGGCCACGCTGAACACTGAGCTTTCGCACAACGACAGGAAGTTGAGACTCGAGATCGCGAAGATAACATACGCGAATAAGAAAATCCACCCGTGACTGGAAACGTTCGCGCATACATTATCACCTTTAAAGTGGCATATTAGTCCACGTTCGACAGTACGATAGAGTTCAACGGGTGATAGACCCTGAAACGCCATTTAAAAAATAATTTTTAAAATAAAACATATTTAATTAATATTCTCTTATAAAGCTGCCAATTCATAGCCAAAAATAAAAAATTATATTTTTTGTTTTATGTATATTATTAAAATAATAAAATTATGCATAACAGTTTCATTTGAAATATATTTTTAAAAATCTTGAAGAATTTATATTTGAAAATGTAACTTATATTTCACAAATAAATGATATGTTTTTAAAATATTTAACTTTCGTAAATTATCGTAATTTTTTATTTTGATTGATGAAATAAAATTCAGAATTAATTATTCTGATAGTTATTTTTATACAGTGTAAAAATGTCGCCATAAAAATCCAAATTAAAATCCACAATTAAAATAAAAATAAAACGAAAACATATTATATCAATTTTAACTTTTTGAGGACCGGCATGTTTTTGATCAACCTTTTAAGGACTAGAACTTTTTTGCTAATGTCAATGTGGGGTTGAGTGGCGAAAAAGTTGGCGCTACTGTCGAATCTTTAAAGAGGTTTTCGGTCCGGATAAAAATGACATTTTTTATTTTTTGTTTTTTTAACTAAATATAATGAGATATTGTTAGAATAATTGTCTATCATCATTGTAGAGTAAAAATTTCACAAATAACGTATATAAAATCATTTTTTTAGTGCAATAAATTATGTCTATGCAATAAAATTAATTTCATTAAATAATGTCTCATGCATGGTACGATTGCCGAAAAACCTATGCGGCCTACTCTCCAAAATATATGCGGACATCAATTACAACATTTTCGAGCTAATTATGAGCTATAAATTCCCAAAAAAATTAACTAAAATTGTTCATAGTCCTTAAAAGGGCCTCCGGTCCTCCAAAGGTTAAAAGATGGCTTTCTCCTCTGATATAGGTTTTTATTAATTGCAAATTCAAGAGAAGTTAATGTAAAGAATTGAAAATTTTTATTGTTAAAGATTTAGCCTAAGAAAAATCTTCTGATTCGTCGTTGATAATAGTAAATAAATGATGCGTCTCTTTTTATGTCACTCACCCTGCCAACACCGGGCAAAGTGTCGAGCCAGCAGAACGTCAGGATGGCGAAGAAAGCAATGACGTGTATGTAAAAAAGGGTTTGCATCACCGGTGGCTTGGGGTAGCTTTTTGGTTTTATCGTGGGATCCGGATCGGTCACGTGCAACAATCGACCACCCTCCTCCTCGGAGCCACGACGACGAATATCGCGCGAAGACACTAGACGAGACACCGTGTATAGGAAAGAATTGTGCTGCGTTGTCATCATCTGGCACATGTTCTGTTGCTGGAAACGGAAGATTACGAATGTCATTCGTTCCACCGAAACAAGTTGTTCGGAAGATATAAACGAAAATCCGACGATCAAAAAACTAATCGTCAAATAAGAAACCGGCTTATCCGCAAAAAATCCAAGAAAAAAAAGACGTACATATAAAAATGTTCGATAAATATGGCACTCCTTTTAATGAATTACATAATTATGGAATGAAAGAAAAATCTCAAAACATTTTTCTTATTTTTTTTATCCAAGACACAAAAAATCAAAATGATTTTATTATGGTTCTTAATATCGAAAAACAGTTAAATTTTTTTACCTAATAACAAAAATCATTTTGACTTTCATAACATTATAAAATCATCTAGACTTTCTTCTGACTTGATGTATTCCTTAGATACTTAATAAAAATCCTACTTCTTCAATCTTTTCTGATAAGAGTTAAAATTAGAAGTTCTTTCGAAACTGAGTTTAATAAAAATCGTGTCGATATATCATCGGAGATCCCACGGGTGTTGTGAGCGAATAAACTACGATTTGCGCAAGAATGTCGATGATAAATTACCCCGGTAGTGTAATGGCGTTCAAGCATAGTGAAGAACATGGCGAAGGCGGCGAGAGAGCCCACGTAAACGAACGTCCAAACCGCCCGAGCACCCCAGGATCCTCTCATGGCGGCTGTGTGCGAAGAAACTTCTCTTCCTCGACAACGAAACTCGTCACAGAGACCGTAATCGACGCTTATAAACAGACCCACTATTATAGTTGTGCTCGAAAATATTCGCTGCAGACTCATCACTGAAAACATTCGAGGGAGGAATTCCGTAAATCTGCATGCAATTAGAAAAAAATTATATTTCGAAAAATAACAAGAATTATTATTTCAAAAAAATATCTCCGAAGTTTGATACAACTCTAAAATGTTAATTTTATTGAGTTTTAGTATTGTTATTGATATATGTATAAATAAATTTTACATACAAGAAAATAGGTCACTTTAATTAACTTCCGGAGCTTGATACAATTAACTCTAGAATGCTATCACTATTGAATAATATAGTATTGTTATCAATACATAAATATTACGTACAAAAAAATAGATCACTCTTAATTAATGTAATTTAAGCTTTTTATATATTTCATGTTTTTAATAACAAAATATAAAACATAGAATTTTATAAACACAAACAACTTCATTATTAATTTAAAAGAAAAAAAAGAACAAACAGAAATCTTGAAATGATGGAATATAGTTCAATCGTGTGTTTTTTCATAACACAGTATATAATAACAAAATAATACAAAATTGCTTAAATATTGAAACCACGTTCTCTGTCATAATCCTTCTCTACTAATCATCAGGGGGTCTAAATTGATATATAACGGACAGAATTTTTAAAAGTTTGTTTCCAAATTATCTTAATAAATGACAAATGGGACTTCCTAATGACTATTGAAGACATAGTTGTTCATTAGTATTCAATAACTTCGTTCACTTGTATGTAAAATTTATCACATTGTAGGATTAAAAAGAATTAATTTCAAAAATAGTTTCTCATTATTTCTAAAGCTAATACTGTACCGTAGAATTATTCTCAATAAATCCTTTATTTTTCTGAATTAATACTTCCTGTATAAATATTTAAATATAAAACAATAATACGTACCATAAATATATTAAGTCTAAAATTTCACATCATTTAATACACGCTTCGCCGGAAAAACGTTTTAGCTTATCATAACAAACAAAATAATTTGGCATTTGTGTAACGCAATTACATGAATGGTAAATTATTTTGCTTATTGTTTATTGTATTTGATAAAACGTTGATAAAATAACAATACCAACATGCAATTCTAAAGCACTCACTTTTTTGACAAAAAAAGAAGTAATAGACGAGAGAGAAGACGAGAGTAATGCCCTTTATCGGATCTTGTAAGTGGCATAACACCCTATTCCGATCGAGAGACAGAGTGATTAGGATTCCTGAGAGGGCGTACAGAGTGCTTATTTTGATCAGACCACAGCGGGGGATCTTAATCCGCATGCTGTTCGGTATTAATGGCGGTGGTGGTGACACTCTGTCCACGACGAAGTACACCAACCCCAAAATACAAGCGGAGCACAGGGCAGTGAAAAGGAGTCCTGCAAGAGTCATGAAGGCCGATTTGGAAACATATTAAATTGCCATGAATAAAGCGAAAAAGTCAAAATGACAACGACATGAAATTAATTAAAGCGTCAATATTAATGAATTTACCGTGTAATTGAAGTGGCATCCAATTTTAGCTCTGCTCTAGTCGAATAAATATTTCTACTGTTTTAATCAATAATGTTAAAAAATAAACGAGTCAACGGTTAATAAAATCATAAGTAGAGAATTATCCAAAATGAAAAAGTCTAATTGAAGTCTAATTTAAATTTCGTTTTTTTTTTTTGTAACTTTTAGCAAATATATATCGTAAATAATTTTTAAAGATTAGATACTACCAGTACCATATTTTATGTAATTCGGTTGCTTCTCTTGTGATATTATATCAGCCAGAGTGAGCTATAATTTTGGAAATGACGAGAATCCGAGAGATATGCGCGTACATCTCGCAGCACATGGTGAACGTTCGCGGATATAAATAAATTGTTTGCAGTAATTGCAATCCCGAGAAATTGATCCTCGAGATATTTAACTCCAAAATCCCGAAATTGCGAGATCCATCAGTCGGAAATGGCCACTCAATTTACACATTAATTTAGACATCATGTACCTCCGTATATTAGTGCAATCCGTAAAGATGTGTGAATGTGAGTGCGTTTGTGTGTATAAATAGGTGCACGTATGCCTCTGTCTACCTGTGTAAGCGCTGGAGACAGCGGCGACGCTCTCGAGATAAAGCGGATAGCTGATAACGAGAACGGTAACTGATATTGCAACCGACACAAGAGTAACCAGGAAACGGAGCTTCTGCCAATTTTCGCGATCGGTATCGAACAGCTTATCACCGCCCGCCTGATAAGGGACATATGGCGATTCCTCGGTGTCGGTGTATTCCTCGATCTCGACGTCGCTGCCGGTGCAACGGAGCTCTTCCTGTTCCTCGTCATCCATCATCGTCGACACACAGCTTGTTAGACTCGCCAGCTTGGCGGCTTTCTCGTTACTCTATCGAAACAAGAACTCTTTGGCTTCTAGTACTAGTGAAAAGTTCCATTTCAAGATAACGAATTAGCAATACATATTAGCAATAAATTTAATGTCAAAATGTATTTTCATACACAGTGAAAGCCATCTTGTTAATTTTATGTATTTTTAATAATCTCTATGTTTTCTGTTTGTAATTGCACATTTATGTCATCATGTGAATTATGCGAACTAAAAAGCATCTGCTTTAATTTAAAGCGCTACATTTAATAAAAATAATAATAATAAGATAATTCTTGTACGTATTTTTATTTTAAGATCTGCTTTAATAAATTGTTCAATTTTAATTTATATATTGAGTTAAATAAATTTTATGAATGTAGAAGGCGATTAATTATTTTTTCCTTAATTCAGAATGAGTCTAATAATTTTTCTTATTATATTAATATTTGATATTTATAATATAATTGTCATACATATATCTAAATCATAAACGGAGAATTAGATGGTCATATTTAAATCTAGCTGCATTCGTGGCATTTGAATGCAAAACCCTGCCTTACTAGTTTGAAATATATGATCACCATTGAAAATGAATGTAAACCATTGAAAATGAATGTATGATGTATGTGAGTACTGAAAGGATTAATTTCTGCGATTCTAAGGCTTTCAATGTGCTTGATATAAAACGTAAGAATAATATAAATTTTTAAATTTAAAAATACTTAATTTATTTAATATTTATTTAAAATGATGTACATAATTTTTTATTTTCAAATGGAACAATATTTGTTCAAACGGACGATTATTAT